GATGAACTTACTCTCCCTCTCCCCACCAAAAAAAGAGCCTGGTCAGGGCTGGTTGTGACTCAATGGGTTTAGCACACAGAAGGCTCTGATGTGATCCCAGCACACAAAAGAGAAGTTGAAAACAACAGTAAGGTGATAGGCAGGAAAGGCCAAGGGGATAATACAGAAATCTCTGGGGGAACCACAGCAAAGTCCTTCCTCCCAGCTTCAACCTGTTTTCCACACAGGGACGAAATCAAGGACAAGATATATCCTGGCTCTAGGGATTAAGTAAGGCCCTAACACTTGGCTAGTTTTCTATCAGCCTCCAGCCCCAAAGGATTATGAACGTCTAAGTTCAGGAAGTCTAGGAGGGAAAGGAAGTAGGCTAGCTGGGCTGGGAACCAGGTTCTCCGAGTCCTCGAGGTTCTTCCCATTTGGGGTTCCTTTGTCCCCAGGCTGGCTGTCCTATTTCCAACCCTAGCAGTCTTCCTCTGCTTCCTCTCTGACCTAGACCTCAGAGCAAAGAGTGAAGGAGACCACTGAGGAGGGGCCTTGACCCCCTTCTCTCAGACAGTGGCTCATGGCAGTGCCAGAGGCACTGTGGTTTCTTCCAGTATAGAGATGCAGACCAGACCCCTAGAAGCCTGTGTTTCTGTTTGTTCTGTTCAGCATGCCTTGGGAGGTGTCTGGGCCTTTTAGGGGAAATCCTAGCAAGAGCTGTTGTGAGCTTCTTTAAGGGCCCTCCTTCAGAAGGGGGTAAAGGCGAAGAGAAGGGGAAGCTGGGGAATATTCCCCAAGGAAACGCGTCTTGTGACAGGAAATGGAAACAATCCACTGGGTTGTGGCTGGTAGGATCTGTTTTCCCAGGGGATGTTAGCCTGATGCTCTACAAACTGCTCTCTTCCTCGCCCCAGCCCTAGTGAACACAGACAGAGCTAGTGTGGGAAAAATGGTTCTGGAGAGGGTAGAAGGCTTGCATCGGGTCCTCCACTCATGCCTGACACCTGCCTGCTTCCTTTGTGCCCACAGATGTATAAGTGAGGGGGGAGGGGTGTGCCTGTATTCATGGGAGTGGAGGCCACGCTGAGATGGGGTAAGGACCTGCAGAGGGGCAGAAGTCAGGGGCGGAAGGAGCCCAGGCTGGAGGAGGCAGGGCTCAGGGGCACAGGATGTGGTCTGTGGGAGAATGATCTACACTTCTCCTTTGCTAGAAGTTGCCCTCCCCCAACCCAACCCAGCTCTCTACTAGTAGGCCAAGGGAACACCGCCCTTGGGTGTTAGGGACGTCCACAGAGGGAACACACAGGGCACAACAAGCAGGAGAGGGTCCAGAATAACCCAGCAGCACAATGCTGAAGCATTTGGTCTGCACTGGAGAGCAAGGGATGTGGAGGACAGGGCACCAGGTAACTCTGGGCTTCTGTCACACACTCACACACACACACACAACACACACCTGCCCCAGGTTAGGAGTACCCAGCTTGGAGAGAAGGAGACAGAGGACAGCTGGACATAATGGAACCCACCTGCCTAGAACCTGGGCTCCGAAGAGACTGAAGAAGGCAGAGGGGGGGCTTTCAGGAGGCTGGGAATTCCCCACTTTACCACACAATTGAACCTGTACCCAGGGGAGCCCTAGCTGCACCCTCAGTCGGAATGCTGGAGGAGGAGGCTGGGCAAGGGCAGGAGCTGGGAGGGGCTAAGAGTGCTTGGTAGTTTTCCCCCAAGAGTCCACTCACTGAGACAGAGCCCTGAGGAAGTAAAGAAAAACATTTGGTCTTTGTCAAAAAACAAGCAAGGGGGGGAGGGGAAAGGGAACAGACGGCCAGTGTCACACAGCTGCTGAGGTCAATCTGGAGCTTGGGGGCTGGGGGGACCTGGGAGGGGTAAGAACGGCTCGAGGGGTTCACCCATTCCCAGGACTCATTCAGCTGTATAGGGGGAAAGAATTAAAACACAGGCAGATTTAAACTTTTTCTCTCCAGAGCTGAAAGGGGAGAGTGTGCCCCGGTCAGGCGGGGTGATCGCAGGTGGGCAGGCACCTGCTGCAGCAATGTGCTCTTTGATCCAGTCCGACATCCCCTGCCGGCCAAGAGATGAGAGGAGCAGGAGAAGGGGCCCTGGCACTCCAGCCCAGACTGGGGTGGGGCTCCGGGAATGCAGTCCTGTGTTCTGATCCCCGCCCTCAGCTGCCAGCCCAAGTTCATAGGCTGCCTCCTAAAGCAGCTGAAGCCTGACTCACCTGTCATAGTACAGTCCCCAGGGCCTGGCCAGCAACAGACACAGGGTAGAGGGTACGTGATTAGAGGAATCCCAAACATACACACAGCAGGGCGGAGGGGGCATGATTACAGGGATCCTGAGGGCGGGGACTGGAAGGAGCGTCTCCAGGAGGTCAGCACTCCTAACTAAGAGATCCAATTTCCTTCCTTTCTGCAAACTGCCTCAAGTTCCTCCCCTAAGGGAAAAGCAGAACCTGAAATGGTAATTCTAGGGTTCCTATGAGGTCACAGGCTCCACAGTGACCTCACAGAGGCAGGAAAAAGATAAAGGGAACAAGGATAATGGATGGAAAGTTAAGTGCGGGAGATTCACTTCTTTCACACACACAGTCGGGCTCGGGTGGACGGCGGGGAGGGTCTGGGACTTGTGGAGACTACGGTAAAGCAGGAAAAACACAGGGTTGTTAGGGGCGACCTTTGGGAAAGAGATAATTTGGGGCTGCTGGAATCGAGGTGGAGGAGTGTGGAAAGAGTTGGAAACGACCAGGAGGAGGCGAAATGCAGTGATTATTGAGATTATCAGTGGGGGGGGGGGGCTTGCTTTAGGGGCCGATCAGGTCTAGGATGGCAGAAGCCAACCAGGTGAGGGGCGGGGCCCCACTACAGGTGCGCAGTATGCAAATAAAGGGGAAAGTCACAGAGAGCTCGGCCAAAAGTGTTGTGTGCAAGCTTGAAGCGAACTCATGGTCCAGCGGTTCTTACAGCGGGGAGGGGAGGTCGCAGGCTCGATGCCAATCCCGAGGGGCGAGCCCTCAAGCCTGCCAGGTGAAGGGGGTGGGCCTGGTTCGAACGCGAGGCGGGGCTATGCAAATGAGGGTCGCGGTCCCGTGAGGGTCCCCTCCTCTCTCTCTTTCTCTCTTTGGGCACCGGCGCCAACTCACCAGCCTGGGTGATGTCTGACAGGTCGTAACTGCGGGCCGCGCCCCGGGGGAAGTGCTTCAAACGCCGGTTGGACAAGTTCAGGGTCCCGGTGGCCACAGCCTCCTCTAGGGCTCGTTCTGCGCTGCGGCTCCCGGGTAGACCAGGAGACCCTGGCGCGGGGACTGAAGCTGCAGCTTCCTCACCCCCGGCGGCGAGTGGGCCCGCTACCGCCGCCGCCATCCGCTCCCGGCGGCTCCCGCTGCCTGACTGACGGCACCGGCCGGCCCTCCTCGCCCCTCCCCCACCTCGGAGCCGCCGTAGTCGCCGCTGGAGGGCGGAGACGACGGTCCGGGACCCCGCGGACCAATCATGAGCCAGAGACGCGTTAGAAGTGTCCAATCAGGAAGCGCCAAGGGGGTGGAGCTTCTCAACTCTAGACGCCACTGAGGGATGGGAGGGGTAAGAGCGGAGCACTCGCCAACGGCCGCGGCTTCTGGCCGGCCCGCCCCGCGCGGCGACATCCAATCACAGCCCTTGAGGCTAGAGATGGAGCCAATGAGGCCCACCCAGGAGGCGGGGACAACAGCTCCCAACTTTTAAGAGATTAAAGACTCAGAGCCCACAAGCCTGAGAGTCAGGCCCTCTTTCAAAGAAGCCCAATTGCAAGCTAGATCCACGTGAGTGACTGTCAAGACGACCAATTAGAACCTGGAAAGGGCACCTGTCCCGGCCTCTTCTCTGAAAGACGGCTCTGTCTACCAATAGCATAGGCGAGGAGATGGCCCTTTCACTAGACAGCAGGCGGGGGAGCTAGAATCTTTGCGACCCAGGTACCGACCGTGAGCGCGGCGTGCTGCGCGGGCTAACAATGCAGTGTTAGAGCCGAGTGCTAGCTGAACATGCTGGGGAGCCAGCCGGCGTCCGGGAAGTGAGGAAGGGAGAGGGGTGCCCCGGGCCAGCGCGCAGGCAGACTGTCTCAACCCAAGGGACCATTTCCGGCTCTGCAGGCTGCGTCCCAGCCGGGGACTCCTGGGTTGACCGGTGAGGGGGTTTCCAGCCCAGACAGGGAAGGTCGCCAGACCTGGCAGCTCCACCAGAGTGGATGCCCAGACCAAAACTTAAAGACTACGAAGGATCTCATGATCTTCCAGAACAAAATCGTTGTTTTTGTTTGTTTTCTTGCTTTTTAGAGACGGTGTCTCTGTGTAGCCCTGGCTGTCCTGGAGATCTGTAGACCAGGCTGGCCTCGAACTCAGAGGTCTGCCTGCCTCTGCTTCCTGAGTGCTAAAGGCACTAAGAGACTAAAGGTGTACACTACCACTGCCCGGCACACAAGGGAAGAAGAAACTGAGGTTGAGCAAATATCAGCCCTCCACGTGAGACTCTTTCCCCCACTTTCATAATAAATTTTTTCTGTTGGAAAACTTTCTTTTTTTGAGAGACAGGGTTTCTCTGTAACTTTGGAGCATGTCCTGGAGACCAGGCTGGCCTCGAACTCACAGAGATCCGCCTGCCTCTGCCTCCCGAGTGCTGGGATTCAAGGTGTGCGCCACCACCACCTGACTTGTTGGAAACCTCTTATTTGAAGCAGGGTGTAGTGGCATGAACCTGCCGTACCAGCATTTGTGGAGAAGCTAGAAGGATCAAGACTTTGAGTTCAGTTCCAGACCAGCCTGGAACATGAGGAGACTAAAGTTTGTTGGGGCCTTTGGTTTTCCTTTCTTTTTCTTTCTTTCTTTCTTTCTTCTTTCTTTCTTTCTTCTTCTTCTTCTTTCTTCTTTCTTTCTTTCTTTCTTTCTTTCTTTCTTTCTTTCTTTCTTTTACTTCTTAAGGTGAAATGAAGTACAGAAGGGGTTCCCAAATGGAGAGGTAGTAAAAGAATACTTTTTTTTTCTTTTGAGATTTATTTTTTTAATGAATGTTAGCATTTAATGAACCTCCCAGTGTGGCTTCCAGCCACCGGAGAGACACCCCCACCACCCTTGATCCCCTGGGCTCTTCTGTTGCAGAGTCTGGTCGTTGTTGACAGGCTGCTATGGCGGCCTCCATCCCCAGAACTGCAGTATCCCAGTCCCACCACCCTGATGACAGGAACAGCTCCTGTCTTGGTTTGCGGCAGCATCACCAGTGTCCGCTGACTGCTCAGTGTCCACAGTTTATCCAGGTTGCTGGTTCCTCTCTAAGTGGTAATGACTCATACCAGCTTTGCCAGAGTCACCTGGATGATTCTGACCCTGTCATGAGGCATCCCACCAACATCCCCTTTCCCCTCCTGGGCGCTTCCAGTCCTTACCAACGTGGCTCTAGCTGTGGCTCACGTGGTCCCGGAATTTCAGTCTTTATCTCAATCTGAGTGGCTGGTGGCCTCAAGGAAAGAGGAAGACTGGCTTTTTGAGACCAGATCTCAGCTCTGACTGCCTCCAACTGGTTACTTAGCTAGGAATGACCTTGAACAACTCTTGCCACAGCCTCTCAGGTGCTGGGGTTCAGGTGGGCAGCTTAAAACCCTTTGTAGTGACCCAAGACCCCAACTCAGCTTCCCGGGTCGCCAGATCACCAGCAACTGAAGTTGCTGTCTCATAAGTCATGCCTGCTATGCCTAACTCAACATTTATTAAATTATTAAAAGTTGGGAGAGACGGGGGCTGGAGAGATGGCTCAGTGGTTAAGAGCATTGCCTGCTCTTCCAAAGGTTCTGAGTTCAATTCCCAGCAACCACATGGTGGCTCACAACCATCTGTAATGAGGTCTGGTGCCCTCTTCTGGCCTGCAGACATACAGACAGACGGAATATTGTATACATAATAAATAAATATTAAAAAAAAAGTTGGGAGAGAGTTTAGCTGGTTAAGAGTGCAAACTGAGGGCTGGAGAGATGGCTCAGTGATTAAGAGTACTGACTGCTCTTCCAGAGGACCCGGGTTCAATTCCCAGCATCCATATGGCAGCTCACAACTGTCTGAAGATCCAGTTGCAGGGGATCTGGCACCTTCACACCAATGCACATAAAATAAAGTAAATCATAAAAAATATTTTTAAAAAAATTAGGTGGAGCTCAGGCAACCCTGCAGAAGAGGAGGAGAAAGGATTGCACAAGCCAGAGGGATCAAGAACACCACAAAAAAAAAAAAAAGGCGCAAGCTGCTCTTGCAGAGGACTCTAGTTCTGTTTGAAGCACCAACACAGCGGCTCACAGTAGCCTGCATCTCCAGCTGTGTGTGTGGGGGGGGTCCAGTGCTCTCCCCTGGCCACCACAGGCACTGTGCTCACATTCCTCCACACATACACAATCACAAAGGAATGAAATCTTCAGGGGCTGGAGAGAAAGTTGGCTCAGAGGCTATGAGCACTTGCCGATCGTGCAGAGGACCCAGTGCTCACGTGGTACCTTATAGCCATCTGAAACTCCCAGTTCCATGGGATCCAGGAATGTACGTGGCACGCATACATACAGGCAAACACACACACACACACACAATCTTTTTACAAAGTAAATGTTTAAATAAAGGCTGGACATGATGGCCCATGCCTTTAATCCCAGCACTGGGGAGGCAGAGGCAGATGGATCTCTGTGAGTTTGAGGCCAGCTTGGTCTACAGAGCAAGTTCCAGGCCAGGGCTACAAGAGAAACTGTTTTAACCCCACACACACTGAAGAAAAAAAGCTAGTATTGGAATCCAAGGCCATGCACAAGTTAAGCAGATGCCCTACACATGAACTCTATTTCCTAGTTACCACAGATAATGGAGATGGTTGTGAACATCTGGCTAGAGTAGGTAATGAATGGACCTGCTGTGCACTTATGCACTGGGCTTTTTCTAACAGGATTCAATCCCTTTGTGCTCCTGGCAAAGCCATAGTCTTATATTTATTGTTGTAGCCCTTCCCCTGCCCATCACGTGCAACCTCCTCTGCTCTTTCCCCAGGACAAAGTCACTCCGCAGAAAAAGCTAAGCGCCTAGGCTCTCGAAGATGCCCTAAACTCCAGGAAAAGTCCACCCTTGCCGCCACTGTAATAACTTGCCCTTTGCACATGTGACGATGCCACCCGTCCCCAGGAAGCAGCAGGAGATTCAGGGCTTGTTTTCTATGAGACTGGAAAGAAGCTGCCTTCAGTTCTCACTCGCGTCTCGCTTTTGTGATGTTAGATCGGGATCCCCTTTGCTCTACTGCCATTGTCTGCCAATCTTTTTTTTTTTTTTTTTTTTCTGAGACAATGTCTCATGTAATGCAGTCATGTAAGGCATTATGTAGCCAACAATGGCCTTGGGTTCCTTTCTCACCCTCCTGTCTCCACGTCCCAAGTGTTGGGATTGCAAGTGTGCACCACCATGTTGGCTTTTCTCCGGTGCCCGGGATCCAGGGCTTCATGCATGACAGGCAAACACTCTACCAACTGAACTTCCATCTAGCCCTATCCCTTGTTTCCTTTTCTGACTTTGTACTCTTGAGATACAAATCCCTGCAGACCGAGGCCTACTCAGGAGGCCCCGTTTTTCTCTTCAGAGTTAAAAGTGAGGAAAATCCACTACTACTTCCGAAGAGAGGAGGACTTACCATCTGCCAATAGTTCGTCCACTCTTTGTGTCTCCAGTAAAACATATTATCCCTTGAGCCGCCTGGTGACTAGCTCTGGGCTAGAACCCAGAAGACAGCTCTGGGGTCAAGTTAAGGAAAGCAGGTCACAGTCGCTGGACAGTGAGGTCACAAAAAGGCTTTATGTGCCAGTGAGGACAGGGGCCTGGGGCCTGGGGAGCCAAAGGGCCTGCAGAGATGAGGGCAGGGGCAGGGAGGGGACAGTCAGGATGGTGAGGAGAAGCCGGAGACAGAAGCTGCAAAAATTGACCAGGCTGTGCAGACAGGAGGAGGGGCTCAGGGTGAGGGGGTGGCAAGGCAAGGCAAGGGCAGGGAGTCTCCTGGCTGCAAGAAATCCGGGGACAGGTCAAAGACCAAGGCAGGCAAGAGAGGGGTGATGGCCGAGGTCCTGGAGAGAGAAGGGATGGCTGGGTGTGCTAGTGTAGAGACAGAGTCGGCTGAGCCCCAAGGTGGAGTTTACAGACACAACAACAGTTTGACAGCAGAGAAGACAGACGGGTGTGGCCTCCCCAGAACCCCTTTTCTCCCCTTTCTCCTCCGGCAGGTGAAGCGCAGCTGCCCCTCAGGTGGTTTGGAGGCTGGGACTGAAAAGGAGGGAGGGAACCCTATTTCTGTCCAGCTGATCCCCCCAGAGCTGGTGAGTCTTTGGGGTTTGGCGAGGATTGTGAATGCGGGGCTGAGGGGCAGCCTGTGACTCCCCCACCTCCTCCCTCCTGCTCCTCCTCTGCAGGTGGAACACATCGCCTCCTTCCTCCCCGTCAGAGATGTGGTCGCCCTAGGCCAAACCTGCCACTACCTCCATGAAGTGTGCGATGCTGAGGGCGTGTGGAGACGCATCTCTCGCAGGCTCAGTCCACGCGTCTGTGACCATGGCTGTGGTGCCCGGCCCTGGAAGAGAGCTGCCATTCTTAACTGTACACTTCCCCTCAGTAACTTCTCCTTGCCTCTGCCCTTCCTTATTCTGGGAACTTCCTTCTCGGTCAGGTTGCCTGGTGATCTCCGCACCCCCTGGCCACCTTTTCTCTAGAAGAAACTTGTCACACTCAAACGTACCCCATGGAGTGCGGACCCCAGGTTCTCTGGCCACCGCCGGCAGACATCCGGTTCACAGCTCTAATGCCATTCAGCCAGTCTCCCGGCATGCACCAAGGCTTCCAGGTTTTACCCTCGAGAAGCCCCTACTCCCTAGACCTGGAGTTTCTCCCTCTTTGAATCAGAGTTAACTTTTGTCAGCTTTGCAATGTGTTATGTGTGTGTGTTGCACCCGCTAGTGCACTCGCATGTGAAAGCCAGAGGTTGACATTGGTTGTCTTCCTCTGTCCCTCTCCACCTATTTTTTTAATATTTATTTTTATTTTATATGTATAGGTGTTTTGCCTGCATGTATATCTATGCACAACAGGCATGCAGTGCCTGTGTATGCCAGAAGGGGGCATCAGATCATCTGGACCTGGACTGCCACGTGGATACTGGGAATCAAACCCAGGTCTTCTCTCTGAAAGAGCAGCCAGTGCTCTGAACTACTGAGCCGTCTCTAGCCCTGCCTTACTTTTTAAACAGTCTCTCACTGAAACCTGGAGCTTGCCATGGCTAGACCGGGTGGCCAGCAAGCCCCAGGGATCCTTCTGTCTCTGCCTTCCCCTGCTCCCCTTCCCCAAACCAGCGCATGCTAGCGTTAAAAATATCCATACCAGCTTTTACACGGGTGTCGGGGCTCTGAATTCAGGTCCTCATGCTTACACATGAAGTCATCTCCCAGCTTTTTGTCACCCTGTGAAGGTAGAGATGAAGTAATTTTTTTTTCATGGTTGTGTATGGTGTGTGTCTATATGTATGCATGTTTGCATGTGTATGGACACGTACACATTAGGTATCTGCATGACGAGACCAAGGTTAGTATCAGGAATCATCGCCAGTCACCCTTCCGCTGTATTCTGTGAAGCAGAGTCTCTCAGTCAAGCCCAGAAGTCTCACTAGCTCACTTGCTCCGAGGATCCCATCTCCCACTTCCAAGGCCAGAATTACAGACAGGCCAAGAAGCCCACCCAGTATTTATGCCTCAACCCCGGTCCTCACGTTTCAAGAACTTAAGCACTGAGCCATCCCCCAGCCAGAGATGAAATGGTTCTTTGTTGTGGTGGCTGTCCTATTTACTCTGAGATGGTAGCAGCACCAGCTCCTGCGTGATGACAGCCAGTGTCCCTGAGGGACACAGTCACCCCAGCTTGAGGACAGTCACCCGAATGCTCCACTTCAGAAAGGCGCTACCTGGTGACTTCTACATAGAGTTTAGGGAAACGGTCTCAGCAGAGAAGACAGGAGATGCCCGGTCTGCCTTGGCCATCCCTTCCCCTCTCCTTTCTGCACCACGTCTGTGTCTGTCCTTAGACTCCCCAGTGTCTGGTACAAGGCGGCACTGAAATGCTCCTGAGCCGCACACATATGGCCCCTGGGACACAGTGGGACAGATGCCGGGCATAAACCAAGGTTTCTGTGTCACCCTAGGAAGGAGTCTGATCCCTAGTCCTGGGGATGAAGAAAGATAAATACCAGGGTGTCTGGGAAAGACCAGTCAAGCTCACCCTCGCCCTGACTCTTCCCACTCCTGTCGCCTCAGCCTTGAAACCATTTCCTTCTGACCCTCAGATACAAAGGGCCTGTACTTCCAGGCATTCGGAGGACGCCGCCGATGTCTCAGCAAGAGTGTGGCCCCCATGCTAGCCCATGGCTACCGCCGCTTCTTACCCACGAAGGACCATGTGTTCATTCTCGACTATGTGGGGACCCTCTTCTTCCTCAAAAATGCTCTGGTGTCTTCCACCCTTGGCCAGATCCAGTGGAAGCGGGCCTGCCGCTATGTGGTGTTGTGTCGAGGCGCTAAGGATGTGAGTAGGGGAATTCTGGGTGCTGAGAACCCACCTCAGTGGTCCTGAGTGGCCTCTCCCTTAGGGAAGCCTAAAAGCAATCCATTTATCCATAATTTACTTGTTTTTTTTTTTTTTTTTTTTTTTTTTTTGTGCTGGGAATTGAACCCAGGACCTCCTACATGCTCGGCAAACATTCTATCCCTGAGTTAGATCACCAATCCAAAACCAGCCTCTCATTTCTTAGCCCTGGACCTAATCGTCTCATTTCCCATCCCAGGATCCACTCGCTTTAGCCTTAGCCCATTCAGATCGCTAGATCCCAGACAGCCTCACCTTGTTCCACAGTTCGCCTCCGACCCAAGATGTGACACAGTTTACCGTAAATACCTCTACGTCTTGGCCACTCGGGAGCAGCCAGCAGTGGTGGGCACCACTGGCAGCCAGGCCTGTGACTGTGTGGAGGTCTATCTGCAGTCCAGTGGGCAGCGGGTCTTCAAGATGACCTTCCACCATTCCATGAGCTTCAAGCAGATCGTGCTGGTTGGCCAGGAGACCCAGCGGACTCTGCTGCTCCTCACAGGTGCGGCCTACAGAGTAGCGGTTTGCAAACATCTAGCAGATTCTTCAGGATCTGCGCCAGGGGAGAGGAAGAGAGGAGTCTGTTACGAGAGGGTTCTACCTTCCTCCTGCTCCAGCTTTGAACCCCCAAAGTTCTAGAATTCTGCATAGAATTTCAGATAAAGATCCTTCTCAGGCTGGAGGGTGTGGGTCAATCTACATGAAGTACCAGGGTCAACTCCCAGCACCATATAAAGTAGGTGTAGTGGTCTATGCCTATACTCCCAGTATCTGGAAGGTAGAGGCAGGAGAATCCTGCGTTCAGGGTTATTCCTAAGATACATAGAGAGTTTGAGGCCAGTCTCCATGAGATCCTGTTCGAAAAATAAAATCAGGGTGCGGAGTAGATGGTACAGCGGGTAAAAGACTTGCAACAAGCATGAGGATGTGAGCTTGGATTCCCAGAGCCAACATAAAGGCCAGACGTGGGCATGCGGGTTGGTAATCCTAGCATTCATATGATGAGATTTAAGGAGAAGACAGGAGACTCCGGCATGGTAGTGATAATGGTGAGGCTCTAACTCAAACAAGGGAGTTGTTAAGTACCAATGCCCAAGGCAGGCCTCTGCCTCCTGCCTGCTCACACACGGTGTGGCAGTGAGCCTCTGGAGAGCACCGCTCCAGTGAAAGCCTGATCCCCTCCTAACCTCGTGCCAGGCACTTCACTTTATACCCCAAGTTGCCTCCTCCCCACTCTCCCAGCGTCCTCCACAGTTGACTGCACTCCCCTAAGATTGATAGCCTGTGGACTTCCGAATGCCAGGCAGAAACCTAAATGCCCAGGCTTCATTCTTCCCAACACCAAATTAAGAGTCTGCAACATCTAATCACTAGGTTTGCTCTCCGCTAGACCTCCCTGTTTTGTTTTAAGGGTTGAATGTTGGGGGCTGGAAGCCATTTTCTCTCTCTTTCTCCTTTTTCTTTTCTTTTCTTTTTTTCTTTCTTTTTTTTTCTTTCTTTCTTTCTTTTAATTCTTTGAGTCAGGGTTTCTCTGTGTAGTCTTAGCTATCCTGGAACTTGCTCTGTAGACTAGGCTGGCCTCGAACCCAGAGATCTACCTGACTCTGGGGATGAGCCTCCTCCTCCTGGCTCTCTTTCTTCTTATTTTATTTTTGTTGTTGAGACAGAGCCTCACTACGTAGGTCAGTCCTGGCTGGCCTGGAACTTACTATGTATATGTCTGCCTGCCTCTGCCTCCCAAGCATGTCACCATACTTTATTTCCCCCTCCCTCGTATATGTGTGTGCTTGTGTGTGTGTGTGTGTGTGTGTGTGTGTGTGTGTGTGCGTGCGTGTGGCATGCACATGTGGAGGTCAACTTTCAGGAGTCATGGTTTCAGCAGTTAGAGTCAGGCTGTCAGGCTCGAAGAACTGTGCTTTTACCCACGGAGCCATCTCATCGGGCCCCTCCCCTTCTTCCTGCGGCTCTAGAGCAGTGGCTGTTCCTGTTGAGTGTCCCATGGGTGTTAATTTGGGTATTGACGAATCGCTTCCTCTGTGGAATTACATGCCTCCCTTCGTACCCCCAGAGGAAGGAAAGATCTACTCCTTGGTAGTGAATGAGACCCAGCTGGACCAGCCACGCTCCTACACGGCACAGTTGGCCCTCAGGAAGATGTCTCGATGCCTGCCTCACCTTCGTGTGGCCTGCATGGCTTCCAACCAGAGCAGCACTCTCTATATCACGGGTAAGAAGCACTCCCATGGTGAGGGAGATGGATCCATGGGTGCAAGTGCTGGTCAACTAAGGATGAGAATAAGTTCAAGTCCCCAGAGCCCCACACAGAGGTGGGCCCAGTAGCACATTTGTAGTCCCAAAGGCAGAGAAGGCGACTCCCTGTAAACTGGGCCAGCCAGTCTGGCATCAAAACAGCAAGAGACCCTACCTCAAACAAGACGGAAGGCACAGACCAACACCTGAAGTTGCCCTCTGGCTTTGATATACACGCTGTGGTACATACATGCCAATACCTATACACATACATCACATATCACACACACAGAGAGGGACACTGAGAAATTAAAAAGAAGAAGAACTATATTTCTCTCTCTCTCAAGACTGCAGTCTTGGGCAGGTCCCTCCACACACTGACACTGCTTATGCATGCTGGTGAATATGGTTGGTGTGCTGAGTGTATGAGACTCCCTGCAGTCTCTAGAGGGGTCTTATCCCTCGGAAATGGGGCCCAAAGCTGCTGAGCTGATGACTCCCGACCCCCCAGACCAGGGGGGAGTGTATTTTGAGGTGCATACCCCAGGGGTGTATCGTGATCTCTTTGGGACCCTTCAAGCCTTTGACCCTCTGGACCACCAGATGCCGCTTGCTCTCTCCCTGCCTGCCAAGGTAGGATGGGGTACGGAGGATGGCGGGCAGTTAGTATAGTGCAGAGCGGAGGGCTGGGCTCTGCGGGTTGGAGGAACAGATCTGGGTGGGACAGAGGGATTCGGGGAGAGGGCAGATGGGATCAGTTGGGGGCAATCCTGGAGCTGAGTTTCCTGGGGACAATGTGCTCCCATGCTCTTCCTGTCCTAACCTCCCTAGGTCCTATTCTGTGCTCTTGGCTACAACCATCTTGGCCTGGTGGATGAGTTTGGCCGGATCTTTATGCAGGGAAATAACAGATATGGGCAGTTGGGAACAGGAGACAAAATGGACCGAGGGGAACCCACACAGGTGAGATTGTTTCCTGGCAACGCTCATCCAGTCTCCTAACCCAGCACCTAGCTACTTTTCCATATTTCCTAGAGAGCACTTTCTGCTCCCCTAGGCAAGGCTGAGCCCTTCATATATAACACCGTGCTGCCGCTGCAGGTCTTCCCCAGGGCTGCTCACAGAAGGTTTGTTCTGTGCAATGCACACTGTGTGTGCAGAAGGGATTCAGTGATGGAGTGGGCTGGGGACCTGAGTGTGCTGAAGTCCTAGAAAAGGAGATGCAGCCCGAGAAGAGGGCTGCATCATGTGAGCACGAAGACCCGAGTTCAGATCCCCAACACCCATGTAAAATCTGTGAGTGCCTATGATGCCAGCACTGGAGGAGGAGGCCGCAGGCTCTAGTCAGTTGGTGAGCTCCAGTGCAGTACGAGGCCCTGCCTCAAACAAGCAAATAAGGCTGAAGGCACGTGAGGAAGATAGTTACCATTGGCCTCTGGCCTCGATAGCCATGTGCATGAATGTACATTCCCTACATACATACATGTTTTAAAGGTAGTATGGTAACATACATGTTTTAAAGGTAGTATGGTAACATACATGTTTTAAAGGTAGTATGGTAACAGGGCCTATGGGTTTGAGGGGATTCAGGTGAGGATAGGGAAAGGCATGCCATGCAATGAGGAGAGGGCAGTGATGAGACTTACATATGAGACAGTAAAAAGACTGCCCAGAAGGGCTGGAGAGATGGTCCAGCGGTTAAGAGCACTGACTGCTCTTCCAGAGGGCCTGGGTTCAATTCCCAGCACCCACATGGTGACTCACAACTGTCTGTGACTCCAGTTCCTAGGATCTGACATCTTTACACCAATGCACATAAAATAAAGTTTTATATATATATACATACATACATATATACATACATACATACACACACACACACACACACACAGTGGCACATGCCTTTAATCCCAGCACTTGGGAAGCAGAGATGGCCAGATCTCTGTGAGTTCGAGCCACCCTAGTCAACAGAACAAGTTCCAGGACAGGCTCCAAAGCTACAGAGAAACCCTGTCTCAAAAAAAAAAAAAAAAAAAAAAAAAAA